ATCAAGCCATCAGAATGTTTAGATGAGCATCTGTAATACAAGAAATTTGCCTTTCCATGCAAGAATGCTATTTCCAAGAAATATCACAGACTTCTAAATTCTACTGTGCCTGGTGGCCTCAAGGAAGAGCAGAGGCATTCCTATGGAAAGAATAAAGGGCAAAATACTTGCTGAGTAGCTGTCCTTGCTCATTAAATGCTAGGCAATTACTTGCCTAGCATTTAATTTGTGACATTCTTTTCTTCCTTTCTAGAAAAAAAGGACCATTATATTATGCATATCTGTCATGAAAGAGGAGATGAAATGCCATTACTCACAAACAAAAGAATTCAGATATCCTAAGGAACATCAGATAAGGATTACAATATACCCCGGACTTTGCTTGAGACAACCAAAGCCATAGGGAGGCTGTGCAATTTCCAGATGCTCCTCTCAGCTAGATTCCATCACCAGGCAGGGAGATGTGTTGTAATAAAAATGTAATATCATCCCTCTTGGTTTTAAGAACCTACCTCCCATCTCTCTGAGTAGGCAGTACTTACATAAAGCTAATAAAGGCATCTGTTCAGAAATATCTCACCCAACCTAGAGAACCTGAATGCAATAAACATTGTTGGTAAACATTCATATTGAGTCAGATTCTTTTTCTACACAGACAACAGATTTTCGAAATAAAGGATACTGTTATTTTAACAGAGCAAGAGGAATTGCTAGCATTGCAGACTAATCAGTGCATTGGAAATTGTTGAGTAGGTATTGCTTTATCTTCACAAAACTCAAACAGACCCTAGAATGTGTATTAGCTGCTGACAGTTTCAATAACTTCCCTGCAGCCACTTATAGCTCTTCCCAGCTCTTTATTATTTCTCTGAAGAGCAATCACTGGACTAAGTGGGCCTGAGAAGATGCATAATTTGCAGTGTATCATCTATCATGATTTGTTAGGATTACTTTTAAGAGGCTAGAGAAAGTGCAAAGTGGGCCTACACTTCACACACAGCTCAAAATGTGAGCAGGAGAAATGGGGCATCTGAAAAGAAGTCTTCAAGGTACATTACTGCTGTCCATATCACCAATGCTGAGGCAAGACTTACTAGGGTGCTTCAGAGATACACATGGCTCTGAGAATTAGCCATCATTGGTAACAGCCTGCAAGACCAACCAGAGAAACTAAGATTTGCCAGTGCTCAGAAAAGTTGGGCTTAACCCTCTGTACTAATTGCCCATAAGTCCTCAGAGGACCTCGGTAATGTGCATCCACTATAAAAGTATGTCTATTATACTTCTTCTCCATAGATAAAATACTCTTATCAAACATATTCCTTTATGCACAAATAATAGTACTCTGTTTTAAAATTATACTTACTGGTCATGTCACAAACTGCTACAATGTCCTGCTGGAACATGGTTGTGTGTGATAAATGTTTGCCTTCAACTGCTGTATATACTATACTGATTTGATTTATGCTATTATATGTGTTGGATTGGCTTGAATACCAATAACTCACCTCATGGCACTCTTTCAAAGTGCATTGAATTCTGTGAAGTTGGTCTTGTTTCTGTGTTTCATTCTCAAAGAGTGTTCTGTCCCAACTAGAGTTGAAATCTTATTTGTACTCAGGGTAACTAATTCTCTAAATTGTTCTACAATAAATAATTATGATTTTTGATTCTGTATAGTTCTTGATTTGCCATCTGGTACTTTTTAAAAGAAAAATAGCTGGCATGTATGTACACAATCAATTTGGTATGGTTTCCAAAAATGTTTAGCTTTGGTCTAACTCAATGCTAGTCATGTCTGAAAACCTCACCTGCCATGAATTATTTTTGCTCTTTCCTGCTTGAGGAAGAAAAGAGTCACATAGGCTGAGGAGGAGGAAAGCTAGCCAAAAATGTCCAGAGAAACAATTATGTTGACTGGAGCATAAAAGTTAGGATGACATTTTTCTAAGCAAACAAATTACTAGTAGGAATTTTTCATCTGTTACTCTTCTTTCTTAACTTCTTAAGGAATAGCTGACACACACCCCCAATCCAAAAAACAACAACCCAGAATCCACAAAAGGCTATCAATGAAAGATCAATTTCACTACAAGATGACAGACTTAATGCTCAGTGCCCATGAAGAATATGTTGCATGCAACAAGTTTAAGAGGTCTTCCTATACCTCACTAATTGAAATAGCATGCCAAATCCAAAGTGACAGAATGATATGGCCCGGCATTAGCAAGGAACACAGTAGGCAACTCTAAAGGTGAACCTTTCACAAACTAGCCACATGCATTCCCTTACCAGGTAAGAGTGCAAAAAGCTTGAACCTTGAAAGACCTTAAAGTCGTGGGACAGAAAATCTGTGCGTGTCCCAGGAAACTGAAGGCTCTTTGAGCACAAAACTCAATTTAAAAAGGTCATAAGTAAACTAACTTGTGGTTCAGGAGAGAAATACAACAACGCAGGAGGAATAATGTTACCTCAAGAGTTACAGATCTATCTGGTGGAAGAAACTGATTATAATCTTTATTTATCTCACTTTGTTGGCCAGACCTGGACTTCCTGTTCGGCTTAACAAAGGTCTCCCTAGCTGCTAAAGCACAAATACTACAGCTTCTAAGCTAGGAAACTTTCCTTATGTATAACTACTTCTTGCCTAGAAGGTGTTGACTACAGTTTTGAATTTCTGGGTATAAGTGTGGGAGTAGACTTTTTTTCAGGTCACAGAACAGTTCATTGGACAGAAAGAATGGTTTTAAAAACAACCTTTTCATTAAAGCAGCCTGACTTGGAAAAACTCTTGTCACTCTTAAAAGCCCCACAGACATAAACAAATAGGACTCATTGAAACAGGGATATAGAGCACTGCCCAGGCTATATACAAAGCAAAACTTAAACGTTTCTGTGTATCATTTTTCTGCAGGTTCTGAGCTGGTGTGGGGTGGGTGAGTGTCAGGACACAGCAAAGGCCAGCCCCATGCTACCAGAGTGAGCTGAGCAGAGCCAGCCTGGGCATGGCAGCCGAGGACAGCCCAGAGCCTGGATTATACATGGGCATGTGGTTGGCCTTAGGAACACAAGCCAGAGTTTATGCAAAAGCTGAAATAATGAGGGATTTTAGAGCAATTTACTGCATTTTATGAATTAGGCAGTAAGTAAGCTCTGCTGGTCAATCCCTAGGCGGAAAGGAAGGACCAGCCACCTCCTCTGATTATCCTCTGTGAACAGCAGTGCAGAATCTGCAGTTTATTTTCTCACCAGGATTCTCTCTACCTGCCTGCATGGGTCATATTTGTTTAAGGTAAGAAAAAATATATTTTAGGCCAAGGACCCTGTTTTCCTGTGTGCTTTCTAAGGCTGGTGCAGTTCTGTGATTCCCATCATAGTCACTTCATGGAAAAGAAACGCAAAGAGCAAGAGTGTCTGTGGGAAATGTTAGAGGGTCTCCCAGGTAAAAGATACTGGAAAGAAGAAAACAGGCACGACAGCAGCTTTGTGAGCAGGGTGATTATTAGACATTTCTGCCATTGATAAAACATATGCTTAAATTTTACTTCAGTGCAAAACATTCAGTAATGAGACCAAGTGTTCCACTTGAAAAAGGTAGGGAAGAAACTTCCACTGACTTTAGTTGTCGGCTGAAGAAAGGAGAGAAAAAGCAGAGCAACTTTTGCCTTGAGACAATAGTTAGGTTGGTGCTGCTCTCTACTGGTGAAGAACACACATTGCTCTATCAGTGCTCGGGTACTTGGGTAAGCGATGATGAATGGTATGAAAACTATTTTAATAAACTTTAAAGTAAACGAAAACTGTAATAGCTATGCAAATTAATATACAGTCACTATTAAAATCAAATGCTTATAATTTAACTTTTGAGTGTGTCTAAACCCTTGATTTCGTCTTCAGACTTCAGTTGCTTCAAGTAAATCCCACTCCTTAATGTAAACTTTCTGCCATTACTGTATATGCAGGAAAATGTTTCCCATTTGTAGTAATTCTCCTTCTTCATTTCTTTCTTTTTTTTTTTTTATAGAAAATTCCATGAATTTTCACTTAAATGGGAATTTAAATGGTCTGAATTGTAGCTGCAAATTTAGAGGCCATATTGAAGAACATTTGAAATGAGCTCCCAGAGGTTTACTTTAGGAATGGCTGAAAACATACTCATTTGCTCATTAAAACAACAACAAAAAAAGGTGCTGCTCTATTTATCATATGACACAGGTACTTTCCACTACTTAAAGATGGGTAGTTACAGAATCATAGAATCATAGAATGGTTTGGGTTGGAAGGGACCTTTGAATGTCATCTAGTCCAACCTGCCTGCCATGAACAGGGACACCTTCAACCAGACAAGGTTTCTCAGAGCCCCATCCAACCTGGCCTTGAATGTTTCCAGGGATGGGACAGCAACAACCTCTCTGGGCAACCTGTTCCAGTGTTTCATCACTTTAATTGTAAAAAATGTCTTCCTTATATCTAGTCTGAATCTACCCTCTTTATAGGTTCTGATCCTAGAGATTCTGTCTTAAGGTGAGGATAAGAAGATAAATATAACACTCAGAATTTAATCTTGGGTAAAATAATAACTGAGTTTTTGTCTCACAGAGCCATGGCTGAACTATGTGACAGGCAAAGACAAGAGCATTAGCAGTTTCAGTTTATGTAGCGAAGCGGCCAATCATTTCTTACTATATTTTCCTGTAAATCTCAAAATATATCAAATGTGTGGAAACACCCATGGTAGTTTCAGCCTACCCCTTGCCCCAAGTCCCCTTGTGTGGGACGTACACGGGGAAAAAGGGGCTGGGAAGAGGGACATGGACACACTGCCCAGATTCTTCAACATCTACAGCCTTTGTGGTAGCCTCATACAGAATTGTGGAAGGACTCAGCACTTCCAGACCTTGCCCACGTCTTTCATCTTCACCCCAGGTGTTTCTGCCAGGACCACAGCCCAGTAGAAACAGTGCAGGCATACCAGGGTAGGGAAATCTTGTGTTACTTGCCTGGAGACCCTGGAGGAGAAAAGCTGTCCTACCATCTGCGGTGTTCCCCCAACGCAGGTGCATGTGGTTCCATCAGGGCTGCATCCAGGTACCAGGTCCTTCCTGTGCCTGTTCACATTGGTTGTGTCTCTCGTGTAGTGACAGGATCTTCTCCCAGGGTTGTTTTTCTTCTGGTGTCCCTAGCGTAAAGACAGAGAAATTCTTACCAAATATGTCCTCCATAAGGATCAGAGTCCCCACCATCTTGGTTACTCCCTTCCACTGGAAGGGCTTCTGCCCTTCCACTGTGCCCACAAGACATAAGAAGGGTACGAGAGTGCAGGGTCAGCACAGGGGCTCTCCCAACAAGCTCTGTCTTCAACAGGAGGGGCTTCTGGGAGGACAGGAGGATGCGGGCTACTACACAGGGATGTTCCGGGCCCTGGGAGCTCCAAGTGGGGTGCTGGTGGTCATAAGATCTGGAGGGATTTGTTCTTCCCAGAACTTGCCTAGCTGCTAGGGGCAAGGCTTCTGCAAAAAGCTGGGGAGGTGGCGCCTGTCCCTTCTTCTCTTGGATAAAAGTATTTTAGACTTTTACTTCTTCCTGTAGTCTATTACAGCCCCTGTTTGCCACCTGTGAAGCTACCTGTCCCAGCTTGACAGGCTCTGGCCTCTGCCTCCCAGGCGACAGCTGCATATCCCTCACTGCTTTATCTGCAGCCAACATATAGCTGCAAACATCCGTCTCAGTCACCATCCAGTTCATACTGGTCAGACCCCTGCTCTGGGCTCCTGCTCACTTCCTACAGCTCATGTCAAGTTACTTCTCAAAGCACTGCATTTCCACACCTTGCACACTCCTCTGGTTCCCTCTCTTTCTGAAGTCTGCCCATGTATTTCTCCATACAGACAATAATGAGGATTCAGAATGGAGTCTGACTGCCAAAAGAGCACAGCACTCTCTTTTACTGCAGGAGGATCCAGTTTTGGCTGGAGCTGCTCAAGGTTTTATTGTCTGGTTCATCTTGTGCATGCTCAGAAGTTTAATGCAACATCTCACTTGCCTCACCACACTCACACGATATATTCTTGTGGCAGTTCTTCTAAGCATGTTCAGCGTCCTTCTCTACAGCCTTTTTCAGTTATACCTGCTGTAATCTGGATGCCCATGTATTCACTGCTTTCATTTAAAAATACCAGCTATGAAACACAATCCACCTTAAGTAAAACTGAAAAAATGAAGCAGTATAGTGCCTATAGAAGCAAACACCCCTTTCTCTTTCAGCTTCTGTCTCAGCAGGCAACCTGATGGGCAGCATTTATTTAAGCAGAGGTGGCTGCAAAGGTCTTCTAGGAAAGGCTGACAATGCTTTTGGATAGGTGTGGGTTGTGTTTGTGTGGACCTCTCCCTCACTCCACTCATGTAACTAAGCGATCAGTGGAACACCAATTCAAATGCTCTTTTGCTGAGCCCAGCATGGTCACTCAGCTAAGTGCCTCTACGTAGTAAGGCAACAGTAGTACTATATATTCATGCAGAACAACAAACGAGTCTCCAAAAGACGTTAGGAAATGTCCTGCAGTGACTTGTTTAACTGCTAGAGTAAACTGCAGATGAGGCAGAAGGGCACAGGACACAGGGAGCATTCATCACAAACAGATTGCTCATTGTTTTACCTAAAGTGAGATCTGGAGAGTTTAAACATCTCCCCTCTCTCCTAAAAGGCTTGAGTCACAAAGTCTGTTGTGGGACTCTGAATAGAGCTGAAGAATTTACAGCTAGAGAGTCTCAAGCACAGTGGCCTTGATGGTCCTATAGCTGAATCTGTGTAATGATTTTAACTCTTTCTTTACTTTTGATGTGTGGCTGGGATACAAGATTAGTACTTTGTTCTACCTTTGTGGCAGCCCTGTTTCTTTCCATCCTCAAGAAGGATTCACAGTGATTATGAACAGACTTACTGCCTCTTCTGTGGTAATCATGGTGCATACCATGGCTGATGAGAAACTGCAAGAGTCCAAGAAAGAGTTGCCCCTACCATGATGCAGTATAAGACTATCAAACTTTTTTCTTATATAGAAACTTATATAGAAACTGTTTTACTTATGTGAATGCTCCCGAGCTATACTGCTGCCCAGAAGCAGCTGTAAACTACCACTAAAAAGGGACAATTTATCCTCAGGGCAATAGAGAGGGTGCATGAGACATAAATATGAAGACATAAAATGCTTTCACATATCCCAAAGCTATGTTTGCACTGCACAGCATTACACCATGAGGACAGAAATGGAACTGATGAAAACGTCATCTTTGTTGTGTTGGCTCTCTGAGAAAAAAAAAAAAAATCCATTAGAGGTTATCAGAGGAACAATTTTATTTTTAGAATACTCTTGTTCCCATGAAACTCAAGAGAATTTTTATCTTTGACTTGAATGGGAACAAAAAATTGCCCTTGGGGAATGACTTCTTACATTATGAAAAAAGAAATATGATTAAGAAAACCTGTGGACTATATTTTCTCCAGTTAATTGCTCTTGAAGAAATGTATCTATAGAGAGAAGTGTTTATTAATTCTGAGACATTACTTTGTCATGCTTCTAGTTTTATAGGGTACAGGTTTGCAATTTCTTCCAGTGCCTATTAAAAATAATGGGAATTGCAAGTTTTTAGTCAGCACTGGATTAGAGGAGCAAGTCCTTTTAGCAGAATTTCACAGATTAAAAGAGAGAATATGATTTTATTCACTTATTCAATGCTTTTAGAATAAATTGAAGTATCTTCCAACACATACAAATGTAAGGAAAGATAAAGATAAAAATCCCGTCCAACAAAGCTCTATACGGCTTAGATCTGGGAAAGTATTTGCATATTTACTAGGGATAGTGTACTTGTCCTTGCATAGCATTCCTTATCTTGAAGAAGCCCTCACGTTTTTTTCCTTTCTCTAGTAAGCCACAAAATGAAGGTTGTCTGTTAGCCCAGAAGGTTGTCTGTTAGCACTAAAACTCACTGCTCCAAACAAAAACACAGTTAAAACTGGCAATTAGAGACCTTTAAATATGTGTTTTCACATGAAAAAAAAAAAAAAATCACTGGAAGATAATTTTCCTATATTGGCATTTTGCTACCTTGTAAACCTAATTTGAGAGTTTGTCTATTAAGCAGTGGAGAGATGATTCATCTCCAGGTGATTAATTCTGTGGCAGTGTGAAGCAACTGGTTACAGTTAAGGTTACAGTTATGGCTGGGATTAGGGTTGATGCTCTGGAGTGGTGGGAGGTGAGCTGTGTGGCTACAATTAGGGTTAGTGTTGAGGAAAGGAAGAGCTGGACAAATAAATTTTCTGCAGGATCTTGTCCATGTGGTGTGTCTAGGATGAGGGCTGGTGATGGCAAGGACTTATGTCTTCTGGCTAGTTGTGATATGAACTGGTGGCAAGAATGTTATTATTAGAGGCAGTATAAAGGTTGGATGTATGGTCTGGATTTAAGAAAGCAGTCTGTGGAATTGTGTTTATCACTGTATCACAGCAGCCCATATTTCAAATTTTTTTTATAGGAGTGAAGATCTGATGATGCATCCTACAGGCAACAGGAGTGAGTAACTATAATGAAGATGACTGTCTTGGTTGTGGCTAGGATTAGGATTCTGGAGGGCCAAGATGGGAGATCTGCTTTTAATGTGGGGTCCTGGAGAGATGTAATGATGTCTGAAAGGATGATTGGCTCTGATATTGGAGTTGGTAAGTCTGTAATGAGGCAAACAATTGGAGTTATGGGGCAAGAAATAAGAGGACAGAGAACTGGGAGTATTAATGATCCCTGTCCATCAGGGTGAGGGCTGAGGTGGGCAAGGAAGAGTGTAGTGTGTATGCTATAGCACTGAAAAGAGGATGGCTAGGATTATTATTATGATAAAATATTATTAAGATTAGGATTGGCTGAAGGATCAGGCTTTAAGAAAGCAGAGGCTGTAAACAAAAATTTATTGCTGAATCCTACCACGCTTTTACTTTTCATTTAGGGGTGATTTTGCAGCAGTGAACTGTCAATGATTAAGGTGTGACAGGACTACAGATAAAGCATCTGGCAGTTATGCAGACAGCGTTTGGTGTAGAAGAGGACAAAGATCTTAATTTATTGGTAGGTCCTACAGAATTTAGAGACACAGTCAGGGCTGAAGCCAGGAAGCTACTTAGCTTATCCTGTTAGTCTGTTAGTCTGTCCAGAAGCCTATCCTAAGGGTTGCACTCCCATTTTCTGTGAAAGAAAGCATGGAGAGCTAAACTGAGTGTTGCATCCCTGAGAAGGGATGATTACAGAGAGGGTTGGTGCTTGCAGATGTCAACAACATCTGGATAGTATTGACTTAGGACAGGGTGAGTAAGGTTACCTGCAAGTGAAAGCCATATTTGGATATCTGGTTTCCATTTGGAAAGTAGAGGTGCCTGTTGCTAGATCCTGCCAAGCCTCAGGCTTCAGTTTCAGGACTAGTTCTCTTAGCAATAAAAAATGTATAATTCATCCTGTGACAGAAAATAGTAACTGGGCTAAGGATGTTAGAGCGTTAACTGTAAGTGTGGCTTAGGATCACAAGTCTGGTAAAAGATGGTTAAGATCTTGGTTTTATATTAGTTCCTTAAGAACAATCTTAAATTTTAGGGTGTCCAAGCTGGTGGGGTTTTATTTTGTTTATCGGCTAAAATTGCGTTTAGGTGTAAGGTAAAGAAATCTGAACTTATATACTCAGTTTCTTGCAGGATCCTAACAGGTTGTGGCTGGTTCTACACATGAGCAATGGATGATCAATGCCATGCCAAGAAAAGTTGACTGGATTTTGGATATGGTGACCAATAGGACTGAATGTGGAGATAGAGATCTGTGCAGCAAAACTCAAATAGTGTGGTTTCTTGTAGGGCATTGAGGCCTAGAACAAAGGGGTGGTTCTAACACAGGAGAAGTTTTTTTGGAATTTATGATGACATTTAGACTTAAAGTTAAAATTGCCATTCAGGAACACAGGGGCTGCAGAGGTCAGCTTATTATTAGAGTCTTTCTGTTCTGTAGGGCAGGAAAAAACCTACACTTAGGAAGGGTGTATGCTTTCTGCATGGGCAAGTAAGGTTTCTGCTGAGAGGAGAGCAATGGTTGGTGCTATGTTTTAGGCTGAAGACTGAAAAGCTTGTTCTGTTGCTGGGTT